GGAGGGATGGAGGGAGGGAGGGAAGGAGGGATGGAGGGAGGGATGGAGGGAAGGAGGGATGGAGGGAGGGATGGAGGGAGGGAAGGAGGGAGGGAGGGAAGGAGGGAAAGAGGGAGGGGACAGGCACGGGAAGAGAGTACTTATGCCAGGAGCCACTGTACTTGAAAACATGGTATACAGCAGATAGTTAAAGAACGCGCAGCCTGTGATTCACTTTTCTACTTTGACCAATGGTAAATTCCTAGAAAATACAGATGAGAAATGACTTCGGTTACTATGTTTATTGTTATCTTTGATAACTGTGCTTTCTGACAAGTAGATATTTTCCAGGAGGAGAATTTCTAGCTATGCAATGCATTTAGCAAGATAGACTGTTTAAAATTGTTCATGGTAACAAATCTAGAACATACAGATTTATGACACATAGCCTCCTGAGAAAGAAATGCCTCACAATCAATATAACTTTGGTTTGGGTTTGCTCAGTTATTTTAGAGGCGGCTGGCCTTCTTTTTTGAGAATTTGTGTGAAATGCTCTACCACTGCTCTTGATGGGATCATGGGTATTTTCCTTAATACACAATGAAAGAATCCTAAGGCAAAGTGTGCCTGAAGCATTTGAGGAACACCCAGGAGATGCCGGTGGAGGCAAACAAACAAGCCAGTGGGAGAGTCACAGCAGGTGATAACATAGAAAAATGAACCTCAAGTTGCAGAAAAGCCCCAGGCCAGCCAAAGTGCCCAACTTTCCTAGGAAAGAAAAGAAGTCTGTGGACTACTGAAATGAAATCAAATAAAAACTCAGTGACAGAAGTAGCTGGAGAACTTGGAAATTTAAGGCATGCTGCTATGCTAAATGACTGAGAAACAAGCCAAAAAAGTCTGATATATGTTGTAATAAAGGTGCACAGACTAAATACAGCATTTCATCTTTTAGATTAGTAAAAAATTTGAATATCTGAAAATATTAAATATTGGTGACGATGGGAATAACATAAAGCTCTTACAGACTTCAAAGGGAGTACAAACTGTTATAAATAATAAAACTTTATAGCAGTTGAGGACATGCATTCCTGATGGACTCACTGTTCTGCTATCAAACTCTGGCATCCCTGGAAATTTGTGCAGGGCATACTTGAAGATCTGTACAAAAATCCTTGCGCAATTTTTGATGTGGCAAAAATGAGAAGGGACACAATGGTTTATGTACATAGCAAGTGATTATTAAGCACTGAAAATAAGTGAACTACAACCATGCACATTTCCCTAAAGAGGATTGGGAGAGCTGTGGGTCCTCAGACGGAATGGCCACTGGAGTTTACTTAGTAACTTAGTGGCAGCTCACAAGGGCTTATTAATTATTCCTCCGTGAGATACATAAATTGCAAAGGGGTTCTTTGCTATCTACTTAGTATCTAAAATTCTTTTAAGGAATGGAAAACATTTACAGATACACACAATGTATGCACATGATCAATCAAATATATAATACTCTGGGGCCAATCAAAATTAACTATGTCAATAAGGGCTGTCATCACCACAGCCGCAGCACTGCCAGCCTGATTTCCTATCAAAGGCACAGTTCGCATCTCCATTTAACCAAATCCAATCTGCAGTCACAGCGCAAGCTTCAAGACAACAACCTTTTGGATCACAGAGCAGACCAGGCCAGGCTCAAGGTGGATCTGGAAGGACACACTAAGAATGACTGTGGATACGTCACACACGCTCCATCTAAGTACTCACTAAACATCTTTATTTTCCTCCTCCACACTATATTTTAACTCTTCTATATGAAATGCAGATAAAACAAAGTTTCTGAGCCACTGTATGTTATAAAGCAATTTCAGCTTAGTGATATTTCTGACTGAATCCTACATTATGTTTGGTACCACTAATAAGTAAACTTTATCATAAGGAAGCAGGTAAAAGAAAAGATTATTAAAAAGAATCACGCAACACAAAATAACTTCTAGTTTGTGTCTATGTATGAGGGTTTAAAAAGTAACTTCATTGATTATCATGGCTGTTTTTTGCCACTCTTTTTAAAGTTCATCCTACTCCTTGCTAAATCTTTGGTTATTTATTTTTTCATTGTAACATAAATATTAATTTCAAAGTATGAAAAGTCATATAATCCCTCTTTATTGGGATGTCAGTTTCCTCTTGAATATTATTATTGGACACTGGATGCCTATTGCATGCCACAAAGAATCCCTGGGTTTCAGATACAGTCAATCTCCTCTTCATTGCACAAAAAAAACTGAATGACTTCTTTGGTAATTGTTATCTAACAGGGCCAGAGGAGTGGCCCTTTGTGGCACGTCAGTGATGATAAGCACCCAAACACTAGGGAACATGTGTATCTCCTGTTGTAATGGGAGTGTGGCAGTATTGCCATAGAATAGACAGTATTTTGAAAGGAGAGCATTCCAGCCTCATGAGACTGTGTCTCCTAATTAGGACCATGTTGAACCTTCTGGAGGCTATTGCTGAGAACTGTTAAGATAGAAACTTCTAGACAATGTGGCGCATAGCAAGACCAGTGAATTCCAAGAGTTTGGCTGTATATCTTTCATAATAAATTGGGTGCCTCTATCTGAGGCAGAGTTGTATGAGGATATGATGATGATAAATTAGGCTCCCACTAGCACATGTGTTGCAAGCAGAGGAAGCAAATCCATACTTAAAAGATGGAAATTTTTCCCAGAAAGAAATCACTACCGCATTCATGATGAAAATGCTCAATATAACCATCTTCACCACATGAAAAGTGGTCTTTGCTCACCACATCCACTCAGCCTTATGCCATTCATGTATTGTGCAAGCTTGACCTCTGCAGGCTCAAGACAGCCAAGGTGTGGCATACCATGTAATTCTGCACAGCCTGAGAGTTAACATTAGTCTAGAATTAAATTGTGAAGGTGCGTGTTTAGCCCTGCCACGTGAATACAATCCACTATTTCTGACTATATGTAGTGATGTAAATAGAAAAATGTGTTTCCTTGTTCATGGATCACTACATTGCAGTTCACAGTGTAAGTCTGACCTAGTCTATGATGGATTTCTGTGTTCATAAATAAAGTTTTATTGAAACACAAGTCCACCCTTCATTGATGTGTTCTCTATGACCTCTTTCATGTTCTGCTTAGAAGATTGGCTAGTGGAATAATTCTGAATGGCCTGCTCATAGGCAATGTTTACCAAGCTCGATACCAGGTCAATCTTTCTCTTCAGTCATGAAGAATGTGCTGATTTTTACCTATTAAAGACACAGCATCTGAAGAGCCACTGTGATCACTATGGTCAACTTTATGATAATATAGTCATGCTCCAGCACTGGCATTTGCACCAATCATGGAAGTTGAGTGTCAATAGTTTTTGGTAAAAGCAGTCCTGTCTCTGGAAGTATTTCACTAGAGTATTGTCTCTAATTGCCTAAAACGCAGTATTGCTTCAGGCACTCTGTTTTAGCATAGGAAAGAATGGCACTGGGGAGGCAGCTCTAGGATCTTCTTATGTACCACTGCTTTTGTACCACACACAAGACTTACAGTGCAGGGGATTCTTTCAATATTCGGGTCTAGGAATGTAACTGTATGATGAATCTACACTCTCAGTGCACACAGTATGAGACAGAACTAAGACTCTATGTATCACCTCACCTAGAAGCAGCAATAACACTGACTAGCAGATTAGAGTTGTACTTAAGACTCCAAGGAAAATCAATTCAAAGATATCATTTAATAATGTCTTCAAAGCTCTATGCATAGCTTTTCTTCAGATTTATTCTTATATACAGCCACAAAGCTTTATTGGTGGAGGTTAAATGTAAGGCAGGCAGCATTTACTTGTGTCACGCTGCAGGATAAGTTAGTAGATCAAGCTTCTTCCTTAGCTGATGGTTCCCAGGTCTATGGAATGATTTGTCTAGTAACACGATAAAACTCAGAATTCCTGATATGGTGGCTTAAGTCAACCCTATGCCCATCAGGCATAAGTTTTGGTATTTATAGGTAAAACAGTAGTCTACAATTTTTTTTCATTTCCAGGCATGTCCCTTATTACCAGCTCTCTGTGACTGATATATCCTATTAGTACATTTCCTTACTCTATACTTTTATCTGTTTCCAGCACAATTTTTATGAATATGTGGTAGTATCTACCACTGCAGGTTTCCATTACTCTCTTCAAACTCACTCCTATTCCAGCACTTCCTTCATCCTACAGGAGAAAGTATAAATATATACAAACGTGTGTGTGTGTGTGTGTGTGTGTGTATGAATGGTGGTACTCAGTGGTTTGGTACTGAGGGTGCCCTGGGCCCTTAGAGTGGAAAGGATGCCTTTGTAGGTTGTACACTCTCTTGAAACACTCCTTTTTACCAGAGGTAAACTTTTCCCCTACGAAAAGTCAGAGAAGTTCTAGCATTTCAACTTCTTTCATCGCAAAATCAAGTCCTGGCTTGAAGGAATCAGCTAGATGGACATTAATTTCCCTCCTGTTGTGTTTAACCCGACATATCCATATTGCAGCCTCATTTGAGCACATCTAGATTGATAAATCAAATTTTTGGTAAGCATACATTATTTTCTTTAAGTTACCACTGTTGAATCCTTCCTTTACTTGCTACCTGGATTTCTGAGAGGTATCCCAACTTCAGTGCAAATTATGAACGAAACTGGAGGTGCCACTTTGGAAGAAGAACAAGTGGAACGGGCGTCAGAGAGAGGAGAAATGGAAGCCTCATGCTTGCCAGGATTGAGGCCAGGGCTGTCAGCTCACCTGGTCCTGATTCTAAAGAATATGCTCTTGCTTGCTTGCAGGATCTGATTAAGCTCGTGACTGCTCATTCTATTACTATGTCCTGTTTGAGTTCTTCTCTTACAAGAGCATAAGAATCAAGGCTGCTACTAGATCAAGACTGGAAGCTCAAGACTGTCCCACAACGGTAAGGTAAATGTTATGTAACTTTAATATTTGAAACATTAATTTATATACCTCCAATGCTTAAAATATTGACAATGACTAGTCAAAAGAAGAAGGGCTTATTTTGTTTCATAGTTTGTGGATGCCATCCATCATGGCAGGGAAGGCACGGTGGCCATATCGGCTCTGTGGGAGCACAAAGTAGATAGCCATACTGAAACCATAGGCAGGAGGCAGAGAGAGATGAACACTGGCACCCTGTCTTTTATATTCAGTCTCTGACCCCAGTCATGGGTTAGTGGCACACACATTCAGGAAAGATCTCTCCTCAGTAACATCTCTAGAAATGCCCTAAAAGACATGCAAAGAAGTGTGTACCCTAATAGATTGCCTATAGTCAACAGTTAAGATTATCATCACAAGTTCACACCTTTGTCAACTTAATTGAAGCACATCACAATTGAAGCATCACCTCCCATCCCTTGTCCACAAAATCCCATGAACATCTCTTCAGGTGAAATGAATTGATTCACCGGTGAGAGCCTCCTAAATCTTATCACTTATAATGCTCAAAATTTCAAAGTCTAAAGTCTCTTCTGAGATGCAAGGTAGTCTCTTAACTGTGAACCTCTGTAAAGTAAAAATTACATACTTTCAATATGCAAAGTCACAGAATAAACATTCCCATTCAAAAGATGGAACTGCAGATCATAATGTTAAGTGAAGTAAGTCAGAATCAGAAAGTGAAATATGGATTCGGGTGCCATGATACTAGCCTGAAATCTTACTACTCATAAATCTGAGGCAGGAGGAACACCATGAGTTAACGTTCACCCTAGGCTACATAGTAAGTACTAGGCAGTAAATAGACTGATTCTATCTCAAATAATAAAAACAGAAAGAAAAGAGAGAAAGAAAGAGAGAGAGGGAAAGAAAGAGAGAGAAAGCAAAAGAGGAAGGAAAGAAGGAATGGAGGGAAGAAAGAAGGGAGAGAGGGAGGGAGGGAGGGAGGGAGGGAGGGAAGAAGGAAGGAGAGAGGAGGGAGTGGGGCACAAGAAATAGCATTTTGGGGAAAGACAAATAATGTACATTTTTATCTCATGGAATCAAAGTTTAATTGTGTGTGTGTGTGTGTGTGTGTGTGTGAAATGAACACAGAAGGCAGATTTAGAGGGAGGAAAGGCTGTAACTAGAAGGATAGGATGAGGGATGGAGGAGATTCCTGGGGAGTATCTGTGAGAACAGCACAATGGCATGCATGAATGACTGTTGTATTGTAACCCACTATTTCTGAACAGTAATTGAGAATTGAAACCTAAAAAGAAATGCAAAGAGAAAGAGGCACCCCTTAAAAGTAAATAAAAATACTTTAAATACAAATCAGTTCTCCCCATGAAGTTCACCATGGAGTCTGATATTATATTTTTCAATAAGCACATTATGACTTTAATGCAAATGTATGGTCTGCAGCTCATGATGCTGTGCAAATCCTTCCTCCCTTAAGCTGTTTGTCAGGCGTTTGATGCATAAAGACAGCTCTTTGCCTCTCTGTCTCACACTCTCCCATCTTATGTGCTGCAACAATAGCTCTAAAGTGAGCTAGTTGTCCTAACACCCATTTCTGCCAGAAGGAAAACTAGTAAACCAATGCTCCATTCATTTGGCAGTATGACTCTACAAATAAAACCAAAGTAAATATTCCCAGTGCCCAAATTCATGGTTTAGAAATATTAAACCACACACCAGTGACCATCTAATATATATACACAACTCTCTTGAGGGAGCAAACTGCTCTTTATAGTTTTTAAATATTGTATTTGTATTCTCAAAGAGCAGAGGTAAATAAAAAATAAGACCACCTTTGTTTCTTTACATGAAGACTGTGGGAGTATCCTTACCTGGTTTTGCTGCATGTAAGTTCTGTTGCTTCTTTTCCTCCAGATCTCCACTGACTTCACTAGTTGTCCACTGACTCACAGCGTCCGCAAAGGACTGGGCAGGTGTTTCTTTATCAAATGACCTTTCACACAAGGTTCTGTCTCCTGGACTCCCACATTCCACTCCTTCTGTTGCTATGGCTTCTACCTAACCAGTTGAAAATGTAGCAAAGTATGTTTATTTAATTCCTTGCATGCTATAATGTCGGTAAGACTACTTGTCTTTATAAACCAGGCATAATTTAACTTGGAAAGTGTGCTTTCAAATAATATTCATTTAAATGCGACTTTATTGGCAATTATAACAGTTTTCTCCACTTTATTCCTACTCTTTTCCCTGTAACGCTGCAGTGGCCTTGCATCCATTACCTTGGTCCTTCCTCAATCCTTGCTCCCTGAAACCTTCTGCCTTAGAGTAGTTTAATGCTTATGAGACAGGAGTCTCAGTCTCACTTTGTAGCCCAGACAGGCCTCAAACTTTAGATCCTTCTGATTTGTCCTCCTGAATCATGAGATTATAGGATTTTTACCACACCAGTTAGAATGAACAGTGTGTGTGTGTGTGTGTGTATGTGTGTGTCTGTGTCTCTGTGTGTGTGTGTGTTCTTGTGTAAATCTTGTCCTGTCACCACGCTCATCTTTTTACTTCTAGGTTTCCTTTTTCAGAAAGATTTATTTTTATTTTTAATTAAGTGTCTCTGTGTAAGGGAGGTGGTATGTGCACGTGAGTGCAGGTGTAAGCTGAGGCCAAAAGCATCAGATGTCCCTGGAGGTGGAGTTACAGGTGGTTGTGAGTCACCCCACGTGGGTGCTGGGAATTGAACTTGAGTCTACTATAACTGCAGTACACAGTTAACTTCTGAGCCCTCTCTCCAATCCCAATTCCAGGGTTCGATCAGGGCTTTGAGGCTCCTGCAGTACTTTTCCCCCATCAGTCTTATACTGGCACCTCTCCATCATCCTCTCTTGCTCCATCTACAGTCAGTCTTGTAGTTCTGGGAACCATCAGATGTGTTCCCTCTTCAAGGTGTTATACTGGTAATGCACACATCCTGGAATAAGCCCTTTCTGTAGCTTCACACAACCATTCCTTTGGTTCATTCGATATCTCAAAACCACTTACCCAGAGAGCTCTTCACTTGTGATTCTTAAATAACACCCCCTCTCCAACACTTTCCTGTTTTTTAGCCCCTTAATTTATCACAAGGTAAATTTATTCTATACATCCCATTAGAATAAGTCAAGTGGGAATTTTGTCTTTTGTCTTTTTGAAAGTACCAAGATCAGTGCCTGGTCAAAATAAACTCCCTTACAACTTAGTAAAATGACAAATTAAGTTCATCAATGCATATGAAACATTGAATGCCTCTCAGTTTAATAGTTGGAAAAAAGGATCTCAGCATGAAATACACATCTACTATGAACACATAGTAGAAAACTAAGATAAGTTTTATGGTTATCCAATGATTCATAAAAAATAGGTAAGCTAAAAAAGTCAGGAAAAAAATGGCTAAATTTTCATATGTGAGTTACCTACCCTGATAAAACTACTAAATATCCACTGTGCATCTTTTATACAGAACAGTAGAAATCCATGTTTATCTCTTAATTGCAAAATAAGCTTGTGACTGTTAGAGTTCACTTGAAAATACATCATTGAATATATGCAAAAAAGCTTAAATATAAACCAAAAAACATCTGAGAACGTTTCAGACACTGGGAACCATGCCAAAGAAACACAGGAGGTCCACAGTAGAAATAGACCAGCAACTCCCAAACCATAGTGCTTACAAGAACCATCCAGTGTTTACAGCAGCACATGTCCAGGTCACATGCATAAAAATGCTGAACTCATTCATGGCTATTTATTTTCTATGTTGATTTTAATATATAGCCGTAAATGAAGTGACTAAATTAGTTATTTATAAGTTAAGGCAAGGGGTCAAGGATGTGTACAGTATGTATAATTAATACTTTCCTTCAGGGACAAGAAGAAGCATTAATTATAAAGATTAAAAACTCAAAGCAGTTGGATCCATAGATTTTAGCATGCCTAGATCTCTCTCTCTCTCTCTCTCTCTCTCTCTCTCTCTCTCTCTCCCTTTCTCATTTGGAACTTGGGATAATAAAAGCACAAATTAATGTAGCAGATGCAATCATTACAAAAGATCAAACAATTAAAGCATTCAGCAACATATCTAGCATAAAACATTCAGTAAGCACTAGCTGCTGACTTATCTCTATTATACCTCACAGGATAAATTAAGTGAATGGGAAGGCATGAAGGAGAAAACTGTATAACCACAGTTTCTATGTGATGATGAAATGCAGGCAATTAGAAGTCGGACACCTAAGGTCATGGCTAAAGTCAAAGCTAAGGTTGCCTGTCAATAATTTGAGCAAATTTTAAAAAAATTTTCTCTGTCACTAGACTCCCATCTTAAACAAGGAATAATTAAGAAAATACAAAAGTTTAAAGATAAATTACTTTGGGTAGTGTCTGTTCCTCACAATAATATCATGATTACAGGGTTGCAACACATCCATCACTGTTCATAACACTCTAAGTAGGTCTATGAGAAAATGCAATATACTTTCTTAAAAATTCAAGCAGAGCTTCTCTACAGGAATGAGACCCTGTTGGCAAAGAACACATATGCTTTAAAGTTCTATGAACATCACTTTAAAACTCAACAGAATTCAGTTCAACCCAGACTTTGTCATCAAGTAACAGGCTTTGTGACTAACCAAGCAATTCATGGTCTGTGCAGCACTGCTAGGAAAAAAATGAATAACATGGAAGGGAAAGAGGAGTATCCCACTGTTTGTATCAATATGTGTAGTGTATTCCTATACAAGGGTATTGTTCCCTTGCAACCCTACTACTTTGGGGGTTTCTTTATCACTTTTCCTTAATAAGTCTACATCTGAAATACTCAAAAATATACATTCTATATATACATACACACATACGTGTGTGTGTGTGTGTGTGTGTGCGTGTGCATTTGTATAGCTGAAGGCTATATAACAAAAAGCACAACATCCTTTGAGTTGCTGCTCAGGGATATAGGGATATTCCAAGAGACTCACAAAATAACACAGGTTATTGCCACAGCCCTTGATTACCTCCCAGAACTTGAAGGTAAGACCCTGTGGCTGAAGACAGGACAAATTTTAGATACAGAACTTGGTGCAATTGAGCTGGAACTGATCTTGAGCCTCATATCACTAGACCAATATAATTTCTTACTGTATTCTAAATATTTATCCTTATATTTACAGACAAGTGTACCTCTCACCACTCATCAAAACCGCTTCTTTTTGCAAAAGATGGTGACCATTACAGAGTTCCACAACTGGTCAAACATAGCAAGTAAGTATCTGTAAGGGGCAGAGCCCTAAGTTACATACCAACAATGCAATCTCCATGCCTAAAACTCAGGGAACACAGTGAAACAGGGTGGAAAGAATATTGGTGCATCTCTCAACTCTCACAGGTGAAACTTTCATGTGACAGAGGAATTAACCCAATAAGCCACAGAGGGTCAAGGTACAGAGAATAAGAAACTACAGAATGCTTATCCCTAAATAAGACACTTATATAAAATTCTGCCACACTAGGCTCAGGGACTATTGCAGGAGAGGGGACAGAAAAAAATGTAAAAACCAGAAATGGTGCATGACCACAAGAGAACACTTTTTCCTGACAGCTGGGAAGTTACCCATGAACTTACAGCAATGGTGACAGCATGCACAAGACTCATACAAGTTCAAGCCAGACAAAATGCCAGCATAGAAATAAAGAAATGGGTACGAAACTCCAACCATAGCAGAGGAACTATTGGCAAACAATAACTCTTCAGACAGGGAGAGTCTGCTTTCTTTATGGGTGTGACATTAGATAGATTAACCAGCCTCCGGTGAATGAACACACACTGAAGGACAGTTGGGACACAAACTTGATTCGATGGACCTTAATACATATGACAGAATACATGAAATCTGTCAGAGATTTAAGAAGTGTGTAGATATGGAAAGGGGTCTAAATGTGAAAAAAATACATTGTATGGAATTCACAAAAATTAAATTAAATTGAAAAATGGACAAAATGATATACATGCATGTGCAGACAAGTGCGTTAAATAATGGTGGAATTTCCTGTCGTCTACAGTACATGGAATGCTTTTTATTTTCAGTCTTTTGAAGTCTTGAGTAATATAAAGTTGTTATACTGCATTATGACTTGTATTTTAAGCTTTCTCTCAAATACTCATTAAATTCATGGCATGACCATAATGCTCATAATCAATATAACCTTAAAATGTTTTCATATTCAAAATACATTCAATTACTGAAACAAGTCCATATTCAATGGCAGTGTGATAAAGTAGTGGCCCCAAATGTACCTTTCTAATTAAGGTAGGTACCATAGTCATGGAGGACAGGAGTGTCCTGTACCTCAGCCTACCTCAGAGATGCTCCCTGGCACAAGCAGGGATTTCTGTTTATGGTGATGTCTATTAGAATCTTCTGTGGAAGTATTCCCTCCTTGAGGTGGATTTGCTTCCTTTATAAATTGGTGAGCAACGTCTAACACGCTGGATAGCATTTGAGATTTTGCCTGTTAAAAAAGAACAAAGTACTGTTCAAAAGCTTAATAGGGCAAAAATAAAGTAATTTGTAAACAATAAATCAAATGTTCAGCATTCTGTGACTTCTTAAACTCAATACATTTCAATTAATATTTAAAAGGACTAATACATTTTATCAGCCATCCTAACAGTGACAGCCATATATGGGGGCAACAGGTGGTGCTCACAATATCCTAAGCATCTTTAAAAAATTGCAATGTTTAATGCTCAATGCAACTCTAAAATGTAATGATTTTGTATCTGTTTTGAGATAAAGAAATTAAAGCTCAGAGTTTAAATAATTTCCGCTAGGTTACATGGTGAGTAAGTGGCATCACAGGAAAGTAACCAGGTGTGTGTGAGTCTAGTGGCACACAAGCCTTTCCTCTATACGAACCCCCAATACATCGCTGTATTATGCTACATGTAGAAGAGTCTATGTGAGCAGTGATGAGTATTCCTTCATAATAAGGCATCATTAGAAGCATATGCCATGCAGAGGTACACCCCAAGACGTCCCTCTGACTGTACCTCCCAGTAATTCCAAGTGGTAGCTCATTTCATGCTTTGGTCCGAAGGGTGACTTACAGGAAATCCTTCCTTCCTCTGTCCTCACCTTTATCATCGTAACCTGGAAGAATCCTTTATCTCCTCTATCTTCCCACTTCTCCATAGTGCTTTGGACCTTTTTGCTCCTATTTTATGTGTGGCCTTGGTACTTTGAGCTCTTTCCAGCACTTGCTGTATGGATTTTGAATCGCCTTTTTGGTCTGTGTCTATCCCATTTTATCTGAGAAGCTCATAAATGCAAAATTTATGCCTTAAAAACTTTGTATGACAGGGCTGACCAGATCCACAGTGGCTAAGAGCATTAGCTGTTCTGGCAAAGAACCTGGACTTGTTTCCTAGCACTCACGTGGTAGCTAACAATTCTCAGTAACTCTAGCTACAGGGGATGTAACACACTTTTCTGCCCTCCATGAGCACTGCACAACACAGGTACATTCATGCAGGTAATGTTCATATACATAAAATAAAAATAAATTTGAAGAAATTTTTTTTAATTTGTAGGCCTACCAGAGTGAACGGCAAATAGCATGTTCATAGTCGTAAATCTAGTAAGGGAAGAGGTAAAAGGGCTACAGTATTAAAAATAATATTAAGAAAGAGAATTTTTAAAGTAACTTTGAGTATGTTGTTGGGGGCATGACTCTGGACAAGTGGATCTTGAGAAGGCTGGACTTTCTGAATGACCTTGTATCAGCAACTAGCCTGCTCTACCTCATGACTCCTCAGGATTCTGTATCTGAGCTTGAAGTAAGCGCCAAGGAGAAGACACGGGGTCTTCAGATGCTCTGTAAGGAGCCAGCATAAGAAAGACAAAGAAAAATGGATTCCACTTCTCAGAAAATGTTAATCAAAAAAAGAGTGCAGCACAGCTCAGAAATTTCCATTTGGTCCTCCACAATGGCAGTATTCCTATTTTAAGATTTTCCCTAGTCCCCACCACCCTTTGCATCTCTGGGCCAGATGGATTTACAGCAGAATTCAGCCAAACATTTAAAGATGATCTACATCCAATACTACTTAATTTAATTAAAAAAGATAGAAATGGAGGGAGAACTTCCAAATTCTTTCTAGGAAGCCAGCATCGCTCTAATACACAAATCAGGTAAAGATGCAACCAAAAAAGAAAACTATTGGAGTTTCTTGACAAGGGCCTCCAAAAGCATTCCTCTATTGGGTTCTTCCTCATTTTTCTTTTGTCTTCCAAGGCTGGACTAGTTGGCTGGGAAGAGTGGCCAGATACTCAGGTGAGTGACCCAGTGACCCTGCTTGGCACTCCTTTAATGAATGAGCACAACCGTCAACAAGCCCAATTGTGACTATGTTTAGTGATCAGGTTCAGCTGAAGTTGTGATGCTGATACTTATTTCATGCAGAAGGGATTGCTGTATAGCATCAGAACATTTGAAAATTGCCCTGTTCTGACTTTTTTCTAGTTCTCTGTCTAGAACTTGCAGTGCTAATTATTCTTGCCTTTACTTCTCCTTCACATCTCCTATTCATCATTCAAGGATTTACTTTTCCCCTTAGGGACAAGAGTTATGCAATCTGGGAGTCTTTTAGATAGACCCACTGAAGGGGTACTCCAATTGCCTCACCCTGTATCCCTGTCAGCATGGAAGAAGCCAGAGTGGTTTGGGTCCCTATTCCCTATTGGCAATTTGGGTAACCCCTTCAGAGGATGGTGTGATAGAATACGAAGTAGGAATTGGATAGGCAGTTAGGGTAAAAAGACCCCAAAGAAATGTTGCCAGTTTCTGGACTAAAAGTCAAAATTTCCTTGGGACTGTTAGCAACATACTCTGTTCCAAAGGCCAAAAATTTCAAAAGTATTTGGGAGCTTATATCTAATCATTAAAAGATTTTAGAGTTACCTCTTCAGAGGAGAGGAATGTTGGAGGGGAGGGAGTAGACATGCATTTTATCAAAACACCTTATATGCATGTATGAAATTCTCAATAAAGCTTTTTAAAAGTTAAACAAAAAAGAAAACTATAGACCCATATCTTTAATGAACATAGATACAAAAATTCTCAACAAAATATTTGCAAACCACATAACCACATACATCAAAAAGATCATCCACCATGATCAAGTTGGCTTTATTCCAGA